CATACTGTTCAACTCAGACCAATAGCATACGAGATTTAAAACAAAGTTTTGCAAGTCATCATTTGCGGAAACTCAGCACATGCATGCGCTTGGGTGCTGCACTTCAATTGACCAAAGGTGTGTAATTGAGAAGTTTAGCCGTTTAAAAAAGCTCTAAATATATGTGATTGAAATAAGATTGGGTGTTTAACGTATTAAACATGGAACTTTGAAAAAAGGGTTATTTACGGATTTCAGTGCAACCGTAGTTGGGGTCGCCTTCAAAGCCATAGTTGCAGACGCAGCGCCCTTGGTCGCACACTGCATTTTTGCCACAGCGTCTGCCGTCGCAGTAGGATGGATCTGAGAGGTACATTAGGAGAGATATCCAGAGATTTTACGCATTCATCATATCGTACTTCAGTGAAGTACAAACCCTACCAACTGAGGGATCGCATCGCCTGTCCGGGTCACCCGCGTAACCTGGCCAGCAAACACAGCGTCCGTCCACGCAGTGAGCATTGGTTCCGCATTGAACGTTAGCGCAGGAGCCTACACAGGCAAGAGGTAATGATAGGAAGGCCAACAATGGACAGATTGATGAGCTCTATCTATATGGCATAATACAGAACTGGATCCGTTTCTGTAGCTTGCTTTTATTAAAAGCATAATGCGCAAAAATTTGCTTGCACAAACACTACACTGAGGTTATAGATCAACCGTAATTGGTGAGAATTTGTGCATACCTTGGTACTGACATTCGATGAAACCATCTCCAATGTAGCCAGGGTTGCAACGGCAATAACCGTTCTCGCAGTAAGCATTCGGGGCGCACTGAACACCATCACAGCCATCTGAGGCAAAAGTATGTACAATTCACGACATTCTCAATACGTGAAATAATATTGCCACAAAATTTGCATAACGTGGACACGACTCTTGCTTACTGATAAGAGCAACTTACAGCATAACTAAAAAGTTTCAGAAGCCTTAATTAATTCTTAAAACACGAAACGATTTGTCAACTTGATCGCATTACACCTCCTATCCGCGCACATATGGAATGAATCTACTAGTACCCTAGGACGTTTGTTTTCAAGTGAGCCACTCCAACTGCAAAAGCTACGGCTCCTTCCTTGGTGAACGCGTTGAATTGCACATTAGAGCTGAATGGACCTCAGACTTACCACTCATGCGAACGCATCCAATGTAGGCATTGCCCTGGTAGCCCGCTTCACAGTGACACACGTCATCACGACAGTACGCATTCGAACCACAGCGGCGACCTCGACAATCGTCTGAAATAAGTATTTTTGCAGACTCTTAATGCCACACACTTAGTCAAACACTTAAAGACACTGTCCAATAGTAGCAGTGTAAATAAAGTTTTTCTCTCATACGCGATATATGTGCTATCAAGAAGGTTATTTAGGAGAATGAGCGAAGAACAACCTCTACTTCGGCATTCTTTCTGTGGATCTCCTTCGTATCCTGGAAGACATTCGCAGTGTCCATCGATGCATTCAGCGTTTTGACCGCATGTCACGCCTTGGCAGCGGTCTGAAGAGAGAATTAAAGCACGACTGTAGGCTCCAAACTGCAAGCTTAGTAATAGTCGTAACACACCGTAATTTTGGCAGCAATACTTCACTTCCACCTTCAGCTTCGCGAATACCATTCATGAAATTAGCATATTCATGCATTCCTTTTAATGAAATCTTATTTGCATGGCTTTTCGTCAGTGAAAGTCAATTTGGGTTACATGAAACCCAAATCAAATGCACACACTTTTCATAAGCATAGCAGAAACATGAATCTACTAAGGATAGCCCCTGAGGAAGCCATGCTCAGTTGGCTGCCAGATCCTCGGCGCAAGCATTTCAGATGCATGTGGCTTACCAAGAAATGCGATATCAAGCTGGCACTCAGTATAGGGGTCTCCATGAGACCCTTCTGGACAGCGACAAGTGCCGAGATAACAGAAAGCACCCTCACCGCAATCGACTTTATGGCATGGATCATGAAGTGTTCGTACAGCCGGTTCTGCGTGGGCAGAGATCAGTGAGAATTGGCCTTTGAGTTAATGCATCCAGTAATGCAGTCTAACTTACTTAGATATTGTATCTCCACGCAACTCTCGTAAGGGTTTCCTGTGAAACCCTGACGGCATGTACAGTTGCCATTTAGACATACAGCATTCGCACCACAACCCAGCACCTCACATAAGTCCGGATTAACCTCTGGAAGCATGGGTAAGGAAACAATGCTTTGCGGATGCCAGAATTATGCAATCACTCCTCATGCCACCACGCAGAATGCCTCGTTTAGTAACGTTTAAATTGTAACAGTGGTCCTTTTATCGACAGCATTCCTTCATCTGAGGTTCAATGACCTCATGATAAGGACTGTTTAAGGCCATTAACTAAAAGGTGATTGCATGCATGTTCCAGTGCTTAGTTTGTGACAGAACAAAACTTAAAATTAATGTTTTTTTTTGAGATTTATAAAAAAGTGTGCATTTCTTTCATGGCTCTCCGTGAGTATTTTGTGAGGCTACAATGTAGATTAATAATGAGCCTATTCGATGGATTACCAAGGCGACAAGTACAATAATTTTTCTGAATCAGAAGTTAAAATCGCTACTTTTGGTCTTGCAAAAAATAGACGCAGCACAAACACTGTAAGATGCGGAGAATTTTCAGACTAGGATGATATTGTTTTGAATGAGTTTGACATGCTTCCGCACGTGTTTGCAGCCGACTTACCGGGCCTGCATTCGGTGTAGGCGTCTCCTGCATAACCGGGCTCACATTCGCACCTCCCCTCAACACATCTGGCATAGTAGCCGCAACGGACACCATGGCAAGAATCTGGTTGTTCAAAACCACAAGGCCAGATCATGCAAAGGGAAGGACAGGCCATCAATAAAAGGTGCACATTCAGTAAATTAAAGCTGTCAAGCAATGGACCAATGGATTGCGCGCATTGCTTTGAAAAAGCGGCCCTAAAGGCGCAAAGTGGTGAGAACTTTATCTAAGCACTTCTGAGTACACACAGCAATGCTTACTATCGTCGAGGGCAGAAATGTGGTGAGGACACGCACGGGTGTTCTGTAGGCAGAACCACACCGCGTGATAAGCACGCCAAAATGCCTAACATACCACTTCAA